CGGCGGGCGGCGTGACCCCGCCGGGGGGCGGCCGCGCTGCATGGGGCCGGGGACCGGCCGGCATGGAGGGAGTGCTGTACAAGTGGACCAACTACCTGAGCGGTGAGTTGCTGCCAGTGCTCASCCTCTGCGGGACGGGCGCCGTCATCTTCTCATAGATGTATTATGCGAGTCTATACATATATTTATATATATCTTCACTGTCTTTGCTGGGTGAGGGTCAGCGCTGCCCCTTGAGCTCCCCGCGCGGAGCACCAGCCACATTGTCACTGCCCGGCATTTATCCCGGTGCCAGCGCCAGTCTGGGGTTCCCCTCGCCCTCCCCGCGGTAATGGGTTGGGATTTGGGATAGTTCGGATGCCCTGGGTCACAGCTGGAACAGCGAACTTCCCCGTTCTCCACACACCCCCGTGGAACTTTTATTGAGGCGACTCGGGGATTCGGGGGATTGCCAGGGCTGGGAGGAAAAGGTGTTGCCATTCAATCCCACTGGGGGGATTCGGATAAAAAGGCATGCAAAAAAAAATAAAAAAGACAAGAAAAAAGATGGAGAGGGGCTGTCCTGCTAGCTCTAGGCCCAACTTTTAATTTTTTGGGCGTTCCCGTGCCACGGAAGGCTTGACTTCCATGTCCGATTGGAAGCGGCCGTATGTGGCCAGGGTTTGCTCAGCAGAGGTTAAAAGTTATGGGGTCAGAAGCACTGCAGAGATGGGGAGCATCCAGTGCCACCCGTGTTCCTGTGGGATGCCCACTGTYGGATGCCTTGGAGTCGGGTGAGGCAGAGGTGTGTGATTTGGGGTTGCGGATGGGGTCTTGCCAGGTGCRAACCTCTCTGTGGTTTGTTGGAACCGTTTGGAAAGGTTTGGACAGTTTGGAACAGTTTGAAGGTCAGAGAAAAGTAACCACGACCACCTTGACATTGYCAGGTGAGAGTGTTTCTCGGTAGCGTATGTACGAGCGCTGCTGCCTTGCTTGAATTTTTTCCAGAGAGGCTGGAACAGCTGCACCTCYCTGGTTAGCTGGGAAAATGTAGGAAATCAAAACTAAACAAAGAAAAAGCTGAAGCACAAGCGGGTGCTGAATTCTTGTGGTTAGGATGGGAGGGCAGGAGTGATGCATGAGGCTGGATTTATTGCTGTGCTGGAAGATTGCTGTGACTTTTCCCCTTTAGGCAATAGGTGTTCTGGGATGAGAATCAAAATTTGTCAGGTCTCAGTGAATAGACATGGAATTTTTTTTATTGTTAATTATTTGTGAATGCTCTTGAATTATGAAGTCCGTGGAAGTAGGAGCAGTCATGCTTGCCTTTCCTATTTGAATTGCAAACTCTGGCTGTGATATTAGTTCTTTCYCCGTACTAAAAACACCTATGGTTCAGTTGATCTAAAGTTTTATGTGTTTTTCTTTGCATTGCTGAGATGCTGTGGTGTGTTTGGAGCCCTTGTGCTTGGTTKTGTGCCATGGGACCTGGGAATGTGTGTCTCTGGGAAGCAATGCATGTTGTAGACAGCTGGCTGGCATTTGACATTTTAGTGCCCCAGTGTGCCTGTGGTAGGATCACCTGGACTTCTGTTCTGATGGTTAGATGAAGGCTAGGAAGTATACCGTTTTCATAAAAATTCAATTTTCTTTTGCTAGCCATAATGATAAGCACTTCCAATCAAATTACCCTTCATGAAGAAGCATAATGCTTTGCAAAACTCAGTCTAAGTGAATGCAAACTGAAGGAAACTCTTTTCCTTGCATGTAAAATTTGCACCAGCTGAAAACTAGAAGAGGTTTTACTCTTAACAGAGAGAAAATCTGGGATGGAAGATTGAAGCATCTTTCTGATTTCTGTGTTGAAATGTGACTCTTCTAGTAAGTGTGATGGCCAAGGTGACTCTATACCTTTTCTTAGGTTGCAAAAGGTCCATGGTGTGTTGAGAACAATAAATTTGCTGTTCTGCAAGCTAACTGTTCATACTAGTGCTTTCTTTTGCCATAAAATGAAAACTTCCTGCCCTGAAGCCATTACGTTATAAATTTATGTGGAGATGCTAAACAAGATTCATTCTGGAATGYGGTGTTTATTGTAGCAATAACAAAGAGCTGGAGAGAGAGAGAGACAGGAAAGCCTCCTTTCAGTGATTAAGGGAAGTAAGAAGGTTCAACAGGYCATCCAGAGCTGTAGTTCTGCCAGTCTTCTGCCCCCAATATGTTTTTGCTGTTGCTCAAGGTTGACTAATCAGATGCTCTATAGTGTAAATAATGCACACAAAAAGCAGGGAAATTGTGTGTCATCTCTGTATGCCAGTGTGTGCCTGTGCTAGTAACACTGCTGGTATACACATGGACTGCAAGTACTTTTGGCCTTTCCTCCTCAGAATGAGAGATAGGACATTCAACAAAGAGCAAGGGTGAAACTGTAAAAAAGAACTGCTTTTCCTTCTTGCTGTGAGAGAGGAGCTGGTGGGAGTTTGTTGGTAATTGAGTCTTGTCTGGGAATTTTGGTTTTGTAATGTCTTATGTCATTGCCATCATGAGAGGTCAAATCCACATCAGCTCATTTCCTCCCAACTCTTGGGCCGGGAGCTGGATCTGTGTTGTGAATTACATGGTTATTGACAGCAAGAACGTTTCAAAAATAGGAAATGAGTTTGGCTTTCTGTGGGCAAAGGGCAAAGAAAGCACAGCATGATTGCCACCAGTAGAAAGACAGATTAGTTTGCCTTACTGCTTAAACAAGTTATCTTGTTTGTAATAAATTGCACTTGTTTGCTTTATATAGATTAGGATAAATCAAATCAGTATTACCTGGGTTCTGCTTGGAGGCAGGATTTTTCTTCTGGTGTTGATCCTGMACTCACACTGTAGTTTCTATGTGCAGGGTTTCCAGTGCTACTTTGGAAATCTCTGAGTTTAGAAAACTCTGATTTTTAGAGGGTTTTTCTCTCCCCTAATGCAGTGGCGGGCAGGTAGTGATTTCTCAGTGCGTTACTTTTGTTTCAGTTCAAGTGAAGTGTGCCAACTTTGGATCAGATATATATGCACACAGTTCTAGCCTATGAAAATCCATTGGGATCTTGTGTTTGAGGTGTGTGTCCTTTGATTGCTCTTGTCTATGCTTCCCCCACTAAACTGATTAAAACCTTAAGGGAGCAGGGAACTTTGCAAGCAGAATTATCGTTGTCATATAAAATGAGACAGCACTTTTTGTCTTGGGCAAATACATAATTCATCTGCAAACTTCAAATTATTAATCCTCAAAATCCAGAGCAGGGTGACTTAAATCATGCAGGCATGTAAATTGGCCTCAGCTGAGCTTACAGTCGAAGCATGTAATATGATCTTAAAAAATTCCTAGATTTCATCCTCTGCCAAAAGTCTCTATCTGGTGTTAGTTTTGTTTGGTGAAGCTTGTGGGGGCTGGGGATGGGTGTGGAACTATTTTTTCAGCRCCGCTTACTGTGGTAAGTTGGGGTGATAAAAGTGGTACTATATGCCTTCCCTATAGCTCCTCGGTCTGTTGCACTGCCACTGCCTGCAGTCCTGGCTGAGCAGGAACCATTCTGGTGTGGGCAGCATCAAAGCCAGATCCTGGCTGCAGTGTCATAGCGTGACTGATCTCCAGCTGGGAAATGCTGCTTGCGGGATGGAGAAAGAGCGGAGCTGAACTGCCCGTGAAGGCTGCTYTTTGCTGCTTGGAAACTGCCTCCCATGGGACTCTCCGACTGAACTCAACCTGCAATATGTGCTCTTTGTTAAGCATACCTTCTGATTTATAAAATTAATTGATTTAGTCTTTGGAATTTGCCTTGTAAAAGGCATCTGTGATTTTATTTTTTTTTTCTCAGGTTTATAGAATGAGTAAGCTATTGCTGAGAAACAGAGCATGGAGCTGGGGAATATCTCCCTTCAGTGGTGTGTGTGAGAGCTTTGGCACTTTCAAGTTGATTTTTTTTCCTTCTGCTGAAATGCAGTTCRGTTTAGATCTTCAGTGTAGGCACACACTCTACCTGGTATTGCTGGCAGGATTGCTGCTAACTCTGGAAGAGATCATATGGATCAGCTCTTGGCTTTGGGGTTCAAAGGCAGCTTCATCATTAGAAAGAAAAATGATGACTGCTTCCGCTGGCTTGCCTGGTATTTGTTACATGCTCCGTGAAATGGCTTTGATCACTTTTCTTTGCAAAGCTAAGCTTTTCCTGGTGTTTAAATATTCACTTCCTTATTTATTCTGAGTAATTCTGACCCTAAGTAATTAGTCTTCCTGGAGGCATGRTACACTCACCTTCATGCCGTCACTAGTGACGTTGCATCATGACACATACTTTAGTTAGATCTCACCATTTTCCCATATGTAATCATCCCCTCTCAGTTTATTGCTGTACTTTGCAGTCTTTTCAATTTATCCCAAGATACCAAGAGGCAGCACCAAGCAGTAAATTTCAGCTTTCATGTAAAACTTGAAATTAGTGTTGTCTCTAAGGATTC